GATCTGGGCAGCAGCAGGCAGAGAAAGTTGTTGCTGTTGTTATTATTTTTCTTAATGACAAGCCTTTCTTCCGTTAAAAAAAGGGCTTTATTCTGTTTCAGTCATTTATTTAAAATGAAAAACGTGTCACGGCCTCAGCCTTTTCTCTCCCCCTTGCTTTTTTTTTTATTTGCCTCTTGTCCTCTCCCCCTCCTCCCGAAGTGGAAATGAAACAAAAGAGAAGAGGACGGGGGCGGGGGGGGGGAAGGAAGCAAAAGAAACAGAAGAAAACCCACAAAACTGCACTGAAAATTCTCTGAGCACAGCGAAGACCGTGCATGGCGTGTCCTCGGGTATTTAACAGCATTCAGGGGTGCCTTCTCCTGCCTCGCGCCTACTATTCAATCTGCTTTTTTATTAAACAGAGTGGAAACGCACTCGGTGCCTTCCTCCCCGAGCACATCCTCGCAGCGGAGCCGGCACCAGGCTGGAGCGGTTGTGCAGGCTGGTGGGGCTGAGCACCAAGAGCTGCTTCCCTGCGTGAGGAGGCCTTTCAAATGGCATCGCTCTTCTCTAAGGTCACCGCTTTCCTCCCAAAGAGCAAAACGCAGGCCAGGGGGAATTGACGGGAGTTTCACCATTGGTTTCATCGAGATGAAGATTTAACTTCAGGGGACAGATCTGGAGCTTCTGGAAAGGATGTGCCTTCAAACGCAGCAGCCAAATGAAAGAGCTCTGCCTAACGCACATCCCCAGTCGCTCCACCTGGGCTCTTTGGGCCGAGGACGACCAGTGTGGGGCTGTTGGGGACTTTATCCAGGGGCAAACTGGTGTGAGCTCTTGAGGGGGTCTGAGTCCTGGGGGCGCGGGAGTGGCTGGAGTCCCAGGGCGGGTGTTGGAATGGAGGAGCCCCAGCCCCAGCCTCGAGCCCTGCATCAGGTGTCGCACCGCCGGAGAGGTCCTCAAGGCTGAGCGTCCCAAAGCAAGCGGTGTTTCCAGCCAGGAAATCCCATCCAGGAGCCGCAGCAGCCCTACCCGCCGTACCCGCTTTTGGCAGGGTCTACCGGAGCGATGCACAGGCGCAGACATCTTCATCCCGCAGGCTGAAGCAGCAGAGGAGTTACCCCACCACCCAGAACTTGGTCCTCCAGGAAGGCTTTTAAGCCCTGACCGCTCACCCGTGGGACAGGCCCTGGGAGCGATGGCGAGGGCTGGGGGCACCTACTCGGTCCCCCCGCTCCTGCGGGGAGTTTACAGTCTCCGCAGGTACCAGGGGAGAAGCCACCTCAGCACGCCTTCAGGCAATACCTCAGCAATACCACACGTAAAACCTTCTCTTTCTTTCTTTCTCTTTAAGGCTATGTAATTTCTCTGCTACGTCTGAGATTTTGCTCCAGGTCAAAATGCAGCTACATGGGTTTTAATTGATTTTTTGCAATGCTTTCAACTTGAGGTTTCTTTTATTTTAACCACTTCTTGTCTTTTAAGCCAAAAGAGGTAGCAAATGACATTAATCACAACACTCCTGAACCAAGAGTTTGCTGTGACTACTTTAATGTCTTCTTGGCTTTTTCAAACCCTGCTTTGAGGTTCCCATTTAGCGAGGTCCTGGAGCACACACTTCACTTTAATTGGGTGCTCCAAGTCAGACGTGCACTTACACGCACAGCTGAATCAAGAACTAAATTATTATTATTATCAGCTCTGGAGCCCTGACACGAGTGGTCAGGGCTGTGGTGTGCCCAGCGCCATCGGAGGCACAGGGTGAAGAGAAGGTCCTGCAGCCTCCGGCAAGGCAAGAGGAGCTGGATGGAGAGGCACCACCTACACGAAGTAGAGCATCTCAGCAGCGGTGGGCTGCCTTCCCCTTGAGCTAGCGGGTGGAAATACAGACTGCTGACCAGGCCTTGGTGTTGCTTGGACATAGCCCAGAAGAAAACGATGCTGCCTTTCCTAAAAATACCATTCCTTGGTATTTTCCTTTCCTAAAAATACCATTCCTTGGTATTTTCCTTTCCTAAAAATACCATTCCTTGGTATTTTTTAACCCGGAGGAGCCTGGGGAACGTGCTCACAGCATGGCCCCACCAACACCGTTGCAAGGAGCCACACGCGGCACCATGAAGCGGCATCCCTGGGGCCGCGCCGTCTTCAGCGAGGCAGCCCACGGACACGTCACCGGGCGGCCGGCGTCCTTCTCCATGCGCCCGCTGGAGCAATGTTGCACGTACAGCCCGAGTGCTGTAATTACTCAATAAATAACAACACTAACGAGATAATGGGACACAACCCTTTCTGTAGGATCTTGTTTAATTTTCATCGTTAGTTGGGTGTGGGAGAAAATCCAGTTCATTAAATTAACATTTTGGGTGTAAATCAAATTAAATGTACAAAATGCCCTGTAGGGTCAAAGCACAATGGGACCCACCCTTACAGATTTTACTACTAAAATGTGTTTCATTTGACTCGAATCATTTGGGGGAGAGATTGGATCAAACAATGAATCAGCCGTGTGTCGCTGTCGCACCCCCCCCTCCTTCCCCAACCGACCCCAGGTGGGGGGCGGATCGATGGCCGCGTGCGAGGGGCACGGGGGACTCCTCCCTTCTGGAGGACTCCCTCTCACCGCTGGCCTTGCCCTGGTTGATATAGCACCTAGCAAGGAGCGGGGAAAGCGTCCTTGGGGGCAAGGACCTGGGCGTAGGGAGCGAGGGAAGGAGCTGGGCTTGAGAAGAGCGGAGCAGAGGGAGAGATGCTCAGTAAAGGAGGTGTAAGCAAAGGCACGTGTCCACTGCTCAGGGGATGGCGACTCAATTTTACCTCTGACCAGGGAATATTTTAGCTGCCCAGTGACCCCAGGGAGCCGTGCCCTTTCTTCTTCTTGCCTGGGCTACATTTCACCTTGATGAGCACCTTGCGGCTGCAGAAGCAGGCGTGTACCCACTTGGTGGAGGGACACGGCCTGGGCAGGGACGAGGGTTTGACCATACAGCCAGGCAGAGCCGAATGCCGCCGAAAGGCACAGTCCCTTGGCAATGCCACAGCAGTGTCTTTGAGCTGGGCCTTTAGCATAGGGTCCAGCAAAGGGACCTTCTGGCTCGGTTGCCGGTGGGATCTTGTCCCCAACCATCAGCCCTCCTGCGCAGAAGTGGAGGAACGCCAGCAGGTACACCTGCAGGGGCTGCACAGGGATGCTCTGCCCACGAGGCTGAGAGCACAGTCACCCAAGTGCCCTTTTTCTGGCGATTTCTCATGATTTTGAGTCAAACCAGGCTGGATGGAGATGAGACCCTGGCTGGGACAGGAGCCTGGCAATGCAACAGCGCAGCCTTTGGTCTCTGGCTCCCAGCAGAGCTCAGATGGGGGGATTTATGCAAGTTTACTGACCATGGAAGAGAAGCCACAGCTTCATATCCTTGGGAAGATGAACCTTTGTCTTCTGGGGTCTGCGGTGTGCCTGAAACACCAGGGCTGGGACATCTGGGCTGCTGCAAGTCACCCAAACACCCAGCTGACACCCCCTCGGCTGGTGAACCCCCATGCTGCTCCCAGAGGCGTTTTGGGAGAGACGGAGAGGAGGTTGGGTGTCAAAATATTGCCCAGTCTTCTGCGAGAGGCATCCTGGTGTGACACCCCTTC